CATATTTTCCTCGCTACAAAAAAACAAAGAAACAGTTAAGAGATTTAGGTTCAATCAGCCTTGAAATAAATTTCTAAGTAACAAAATGCTGGAGGTGTACTTCCAAGCTTAAAGACTTAACCCAACTATAAGATTTGGTAAACATTATTAACAACATAGGAAATATATTTCTTACCCTAAAGAAGAAAATTCAGTAAATTAAATATCGTCCGCTCTAAATTATCCACATATCAGAGAAGGACTAGAGCAGAGAGAATGTATGGAATACATAAATGTGGAGGGCTTTGGAATCTGTAGTGTGATTAAATGGACAACAAGTATACATTGTAGTCAATTTTTGCATTGCTAGAGCAAATTTTAGTTCATAATCTCAGAACAATTATCAGTTGACAAAAAATGAAGTAGTAGAAAATAGTATTTGGTGGCAAGTCATAGGCTGTGGTTAAAAACAGGTCACATTTCATCCACAGGACAGAATTCACAATCAATGAGGGAAACTGACGCAAGCCTTTTTCTAAGCCAAGTACCTTCTTTGGGGATCGAAGAGACTCAGGAGACAAATGTTTACAATCTAGGATAATCAGAAATTATAGGCACCAAGTCATCAGCCAAAGATAAGACAAGGGGCTTGCCAAACACTAATATGTACTAAAATATCTTTTTACACAACTTGCCACATACCCCTCTTTCCCAATTCAGAGGCAATGATACAATCATTTCTCTTAGCAAAGAACAATTGTTTAATGATGCTAGAATAAAAGGTTAAGTATTTGAAAAAAATTAAGATTTGGAGGCGCCGCCATTTTTGCTGCCCAGACACGGAGCGAGAGGCTGAGAGAGTCGGAGACACTATCGGCTTCCATCCGTCGCGCAGACCCTTCCGGAGCCACTTCCGCTACGGATAATCTAATCGGGAGGATCTGGTGTACCAGGCGAAGCTGGCAGAGCAGGCTGAGCGATACGACGAAATGGTGGAATCGATGAAGAAAGTAGCAGGGATGGATGTGGAGTTGACAGTTGAAGAAAGAAACCTCCTATCTGTTGCATATAAAAATGTGATTGGAGCCGGAAGAGCTTCCTGGAGAATAATCAGCAGCATTGAACAGAAAGAAGAAAACAAGGGTGGAGAAGACAAACTAAAAATGATTCGGGAATATCGGCAAATGGTTGAGACTGAGCTAAAGTTAATCTGTTGTGACATTCTGGATG